TTATAAACTAAGAAAACATTTGAAAAAATCAAAAAGTATTTGTGGTTCCCAGAGCGATATTCGAAGGTGGAAAGGAAAGCACTTTTTTCTGCGTGTAGGCAACTGAGGCTGGCAACCAGGAGCAGCTGGCAACAGGCAGGCAGGCAGGCAGGCTGGCAGGCGGGCAAGCGGGCAGACAGGCGGGCGGACAAGGAGCAACGGACAGCCGACAAGCGAGCAACTGGCAACAACACCGTTAGCATTGCTCGTGGGCGCGCTGGGCTACACGTCAAACACATTCATCACGAGTGCCAGAGTGACAGATGGCAAATGCGCCTACAGCTCGTTTGTTGCCCCGATCTCCGAGTCAGAGTCAGAGTCAGAATGCGAATGTGAATGCGAATGTGAATGCGAATGCGAGTTCGAGTGCGAATGCGATTCGTCTGCTTGGCCTTATGTCATCCGCAAGGGCAAAAGGACAAATGAAAATTTTCCAATTATTGCAGACACTCAGCCACCGAAGGGACCGGAGGCCGCAACGTAAATTTAACGCAACGCTTTAAAAGTGCCGCCATCCATTTTGCGCATTATTCATGCGCGTTCTGTCGAAATCCAAATTTCCAGCTAGAACGCAAATCATTTGTCAAGTTTTCAATATCTATCTGCGTATCTACAACTTGAATTACTTGTTCAGCTCTAGCTGCATGCTTTGGCTTGTAGCCAGTTTGCCATTTTTGCCCGGTTTTCAGTTATCCGGTTTCAGTTTTTTGGTGACGTGGCAGTTGATCAAAAACGCATTTTAACTGTGTCAGCGTCAGCAGGCACGATTTTAATATACGTAATGTGGCCACATGTGCGACTGACATGATTTGGCATTATCCCACTCACTGAACTGTACCGAATATGTATCGCATTTACACTCAAACAAATTTCACTTTTCAAACAAATTGAAAGGGATTTGCGTATGCTTCAAATGTAATGCCTGAATAAGTTTATTGAAATTTTAGGCAGGTGTTTTTTTTGGCAAGACAAACAAAAAGCGCTCAGCACAATTTCTGTGCTTTCAATTTTTGCTTGTTTTTATATAACTAAAAATGTTTTACTGTGTATTGTAGCGAAAGTAATGAATTGGGGCCACAGCTCGCCATTGCCATTTCCATCTGGTTGCGTGGGTCAGGCTCGGAATTTTGATAAATAGTATACATTTTGAAATTCTCATTTTGCGCTATTTTGCACTTTATAACCCCGCAGCAGCATATGCTGCGTAATTACATATATTTCATGTATGTACTGCAAACTGGCGTATATTGATTGAATTTGAGATGGTTGTATTGGGCAAGGATAGGGGTAGGGGGAGGTGTAAGGGTATTCCATATGCTATCATACTAATCCGCACATAAAAGCCACTTTCATTTTCACAAACTACTCGTAAGCAGCTCGAAACTTTCGCTAATATCGAATGTTAAACTCTCTTTTGTGTTGGTCTAAAACCACGTGTGTGTGTGTGTGTATGGTTGTGTGTGTGTGGCAAGTTTTACGAGCGCCTGTTAACCGCGGGTATTTACACTAAGTCTAATGAAATGTTTAACAAGCACTTTGCTGTGCGCAAATCCCAATGACCCATAATATTAGCATAAAATCACTTGGCTGCCAGGCGAGGGCTAAGAAGAAAGCGCCACATGCCGCATGCCGCATGCCCCGCATCCATTGCCTCATAAATAGTTGGCGGCAACCTTGCTGTGTGTGTGTGTGAGTGTGAGTGTGTGTTACTACTTGGTTAGTCTGTTGGCGTTGCATTACACGCTTGAGGGTCTCCAGCAAAATGTTCATTTAAATTGCGTACTTTAAAGTTTTTGGACGAGCGTGAAAGGCTTAACGAAGCGAACCCTCTGCAAATCTACATAAGGCTGTACATACTTATTGCATGTATATATAAATATATATATAAAGAAGAACACGCCCAGTAGGAAGCGTTTGCTGTGCCTATGCGGCGATTTTGGTCCCGAGTGTTCTTTGGCGTATATATTTTCAATTTTTCCGCATAAATTTTTATGTTGGTCATACTTTATTTGCTGCTGGTGCGCTCTGTGCGCTGTTTATGTTGTTTCCACAAAATAAATTACATTAAAATTCTAAGCCATCAGCCGCTGTGAAAATTTATTTTTGCACATTATCCGCTTGCCGCAAATTGTATTTATTCCGCAGTCGACGCCAAACGCTCGCAGCAAAATAAAATAACCAAAAACAAAAAAACAAAAAAACAAAAAACAGACAAAACAAAATGCACAACAACAATAACAACAAAGCAGCTGCTGACGTTTTAGTGGCAGTTACTCAAACTCAAACTGTTGTTTTTTGCTGTAATTGTTGTTGCTGTTGCTCCAACTGACCAAAGTTGTAAAGTATCCTTCAAGGCAATTAGTTTATTTGTACAATTTCATTTCATTTCGGATCTTGGAATTTTAATGCGTTTCATTAAGTTTATGCGTAAATTTTACACTTGTATATCAAGCAAATTTGGGTGAATTTGGCCTCTCAGCTTAATAAAAGTCTGCTTGAATACGGAATGCGGAAAGCTTGGCAGAGCACTAAATCACAAGTTATTTATTTAATTGTGCGATTTGTCGGTGTGCAGACTAAACAAGGAATTGTATCCAAGTGCCAAGAACCCTTAAAATCATCCAAGATTAATTCTGCATTTAAATTTGGAAACATGTTTCCGAGTCGAAATTCATGTTAATTGAGTTGGCTTCGAAATTTTAAGATTGTAATATCTCACTCAAAATTTAAGTTTTTTTTTTTTATATTTTATGTTAAGATTCTATTCCTAAAAAATCCACTTGTGAAGGTTCCCAATTTTAAGGTGCCATAACTCCTTGAAAACAAAACCGATTATTGAAAGTAATATGTTTTTGGAAATGGCTTGTCATCTAGATTAAAACTGCATTTAAATTTCAATACACGATTCTGGCTCAAAATTCATTTTAAAATTCTGTCCAACAAATTACTTGAGGACTGATTCACACTTTCCAATGTCATAACTTCGTCAAAACTGATCCGATTTTGAAAAGAAGTACATCGGGTCCAAATGCATGTCAAAAATCTACCCCATAGAAAATCACTTGGAAAGGAAATATCCTTTTAATTACTGCACTCATCAAAGTCTACAAATGAATAGTTTAATATTTAGTAAGAAGTAAATCTAGTCTTAAGTCTTAATAAATCCAAAATAAAATTTTATTAAACTGTTTTTAGTTTGACATTAGCATACAATTCATTATAGTCAGCTTTGCTGAAATTGTATTATTTTAGGATTTATTATTTTTAGGACATTCAGAGTTTCATCTAAAGCAATGCACACAAATACAGTTGCAGATGTGTACAATAATAAAGGCAAACACACACACACACATACACACATGCGTACGTGTAGGCATACTCACACACACACACACACACATACGCACACACACACACATATACACACAACCACACAAACATCAACACATATACAGGCAATATTTACACAGGAGCTGCTCTGATTTAAACTGAGAATCAATTTAATGACAATATGCGACTTACTCGACGTGTATGAATTATGTAATCAGCAACAATTCAGTCTAATAAATCGCTCAAATTAGCGCTTATTTCAGTAATGTTTTGGGCAGTGCAGAAAAAAAATGTAAACACTTATTTATATGATACACAAATAGAAAATCCACAAAGAGACGCGCAGAGCGCGCGGAGCGTCTCTCTGGGAACTAGGTCCTGGGCCCAGTTCAAACAAAGACCGATTTTGAGCACTTTAAACACTTTTAGCTACACAATTTCATAGTTTACGCATGCAGCAGCATCAATTTGTTAAACTTTTAGCGAATTTGTAATGTTTTATTTGGTTATTAGCTTAAATACAATATACACGAAAATTTCACAACCGCACTCAATTTGATTTGACAGACGGAGAAGTCAATGCGCTCTCTCATTTCACGTTCCATTGCCGTTCCATTCCGCAGCATTTCGTCCTGCCAGTGAGTGCGAGAGTGGGAGAGAGCACAGTGCAGCTGTTTGCCGCGAGCAGACGGTGCTGCTCGGGGGTGGGTAGAGGTATTTGGCAACTGTCAAACTGACAGCTGACCTAAGGGTTTGTGTATTTATGCGTTGCGCAGGCGTCGCTCTCTCTTTCGCTCTCTCTCTTTCTCTCTCCTTCTCTTCCACTCTCTCTTTCGCGTCCTGTTTCATTGCCTTTGCGTTCCGATTCCAAAAATGCGAAAACTGAACTGGCAAAAGGACGTTGTCTTTTGGGTGGCTTTCAAGGGTTGCTTGATACTGATGGTGATGGTGATGCTGATGTTGTTGCACCCCAGCCCCCGCTAACCTCCTGCACCGATACCCCAACGAAAATTACCTGGGGAATTGGCATTAGCCCATTTTCGATGCGTTATAAATTGCGATTGTCACTTTGGAGCATTCTAGACGACCGTATGGCATTGGCATCGATGGCATTGTGGATGATGATGCTGCTGGTGGTGTTGATGTTGCTCCCATTTCAGTCAGCAACTGCTGTATACATTGTGCGCCTTCAGGGTGTATTCTATGACTTTCATTTCGTTCGATTACGACCACCACGTTATTACCCTTTTCCCCCGCATACTGCTTATGCAATTACATTTAAGTTTTGGCGTCTCTGAAGTCTGAAGTTGTCTGTGACATGGAATTAATTTTCGATTTTATTGTCAGTTTGTCAACTGCTTAGCTCGAAGCTGCTCATGCTCCTGCTCCTGCTGCTGTTGCGCCTGACTTTGATTTAATTGAAAATGCATGAATATGCAATTTTTAGGCAGCCAAGCTCGTAAATGCTTGGATTTTATTACTTCCCCTCTCAACTCGTTGGATTGCAAGTGCTCAAAACTGTATGTTTAATGGCCCCGTATGTGTATTTTGTAAACGAACAAGAGGGGAGGGTCAACTTATCCTTGATTTAGCTGACTAACATTTTATACGCATACTCAATATTCACAAGCACTCACTAGTCACATTAAAACACACACACGTGCATTATTTTATACAATTTTATTAAAATATTAGTATCTTTCTTAGAGAATGTGGGAAAATTTTATGAATTGCTTTACCAAAGGCAGCAAGCCCAAGGTCTGCAATAAGGTCAGCCTAACTGACCTATTTAATCGAGTGCCTCCCAATCAGCACAAACAGCTTAGGGTGTTTGCCAATAAAAATGAAGAATACAAAATGTAAGTGATTTTTTCGTTAACAGCTATTGCAATGCACAATTCAATATGTCCTTCCAAAAAGCCGTCTACGGAAATATCCGCCGGATCTGCCTCGCATCGATTGGCAGTTTTATAAGGAGAACGTGCGAACAGATATGGTGGGTTGGGTTGAGGAATTTGAGCATAAATACGACAAACTGGACAGCATGTTCGCCAATCGGCATAATCTGATTGATCACTCTAAATATTTCGGCGAAGTAACTGAGCAGTCGAATGAGGTTGTCAAGGATATCAAAAAGTTCAAGGAAGAATCCAATGAGCGGATCAAGAAACTGCAGTCCAAAATGGACCAATTGAAAAGCCTGCGACCGTACACTGAAATGACAATGGAGGAGTTTTGCCTAGCACATCCCGATGAGGCGCCAGATTTCATAAACAAGCCCACCTTTTGGCCACACACACCCGAGGAACAGAAGCCGGGACCATCACAGGAAGTGGTGCATAAAGAGGAGGTGGTGGCTCTAAAGCCAAAGTCAAAAAATGGCCAACCAGAATCTAAAAAGCCGCCACCAAAAGCACCACCTCCTGGCGATGCACCAACTGATGGTCCTACAGCAAAGGAAGGCCCAAAGGACGTCAAGACAAAGGATTTGAATGAAAAGAAAACTATTTCCCCAAAGGAGGATGCAAAAGCAAATCTAAAATCAGACACTGAAAGCCAGGCGGTAGAGGCAGCTGCTCAATTGGCAGTAAAAGGTGTCCAGTTAGCAAAAGATTTGACTGCTAAAGTTATCACCCTATTGAAGGTCATTTGGGAGAAACTCGGCGAAAAGAGAAAGCAAGTCGCAGAGTCGGCAAATGCCGTAAGATTACAGAACGCATCTGGACAAAAGGAGAAACATGAAGATCTCCGCAAGACGGACGACGAGGAGGAGGATAGCTTTCTTCGGCGGGAGAGCCTGTCAAACATATGCAACAAGACGATAATTCGAGGCGAGAATACCGCAGAGGCGGATGTAAAGCCTCATCACGTCGACTTGGATATTGAACACAAACTAGATTGCGAGGAGCCTGATGAAAGAGAGTGTAAACCAGAATGCGAAGAAGAGGAGAAAGACGATTGTAGCCGCAAGACAAAATGCCCAGAAGCAGAGGTAGAACAAGTCTGTCCGGAAGCAGAAGAAGAGTCCGATTCACGATGTGCGGACATAAGCGAAGAGATCGTTCCAGACTGTGAGGATACATGCGAGGAGCCGCAACGAGATGAAGATCCACGCAGACGTCGTTTCACTGCTGATAAGCCAACAAAAGATGCGCCCGAATGCGAATCGAAAGGAACGATTGGCAACCTCGTTGAACTAAAAGGTCAGCCATTATACGCAAATCGAACTGAAATAGCAATGCTTGACAAATTCTCGCCTAAGATGGGAAATACAAATGATACAATTAACTCTTCAAATGATGATTTCAATCAAGGTGTTCCGGATGCGCCCAACACAAAGTTTATCAAGTCAAACGTTTTAAATACAAGCAAAAAAGATGGCACCGATTTACAAGATGTGAATTTAGACAAGTTGAATACCGAACAGTTGGCTAAAGTCGTTTTCGAAATGGCAACCGGTGCTGCCACCTTGCTTACAGAGGCCAAAATGATCATTGATAAGGCGCAACATGAAGAGCCCATCGAGGGCATCGAATCCGTTTACACAGCCGCCGAGCACAAAGTAAGCCAGGCATTGCACCAGGCCCAAATGGCCCTGGGGTCGGCCCGAAAGTTGGCCAAGCAGAACCTACAATCGGAGGATCTGAGCGCTCAGATTGAAAAGCATACCATGTTGGTCAAGTTGCTCGCCCAACGAGCCATTACCATGAAGAAGGAGATCGCCAAACTACTGAGTCGACTCAAGAGAGGTGACTGAATATTTGAGTGGAGTTTCACGTTCAAGTTGCTGTTAGAAGCGTTTTCATTATTTCATTTTCTGTTGAATGTTGAAGGGAAGAGTTTTTCTTGTTTAGAGTGGTGTGAAGGGGTAACCGAGGTGCTGCTGTGTGCTATGTGCCACATATGCAAATTTTGTTATAAAGCTCAAGCACTGTGCAATAAATTTTGGTGCAAAAACCTAAACGAAATATCGAAACTTTGGCTCGAGTGGCCGAAACTTTGCGGTGAATTAGCCAAAAATTTTACTTTGCTGTGTGTGTGTGGGTGTTAGGTGTGGGTGCGGCATTTGGCCTAGTAGATTGCATAATTATGCAAATGTGTTGTTTTTCGGGCATTCAAAGTGGCGCATTTGAAAGTGTTGCCTACTTGTTGGCGTTGCTGGCGCACAATTTTCACAATCAAACGCATTTGCATAATTATACAAAGCACACTTCTCACACCTCTGAAGTCCCTCCCCCTCTCCCTCTCACTCTGTGTGTGTGTTTGCTTTTAATTCAAGTTTGATAGTTTGTTATAAGCTTTAAGCCGTAAAACCATTCAGGGCATTGTAACAAAGGCCAAGCATTCAACATTGTTTCAAAATGTCGCTAAAATCCGGCTTTGTTTTATTACTATTTGTAATTGACATTTTTATGCTGAGCAAACTTTTGCCGCTTTTAACAGCCCATATAAATTCAATTTGCAAAACCTTTCTGATGATAAAAGCGACTTTCTCTACCGAAATTTCCATTTGAGCCTAATCGATTTCATAGGTGACAAGAAACCAGGAGGCTTTTTGGGGACACTCTTCGTCTTGCAACATTTGCATATTGCGAGGAAGAGAAACAGAGCCTGTTTTGTGATTAGGCTGAAAAGGATTATTCATGAGCAGCTCCCAAAAATTGTTTAAAGCATATCGTTATCGTAATGCCAGCCAATATTCAATTCCAGAGCCCCACTCATTTTGGCAGTAAACAGAGCGATTGCAACTTCAACTCAAACTCCGCTGGATTCAATGCCAACAATTGTTTGCCCAGAGTTTGGCTTATAGTTTTATGGCTTTTGTGTTGCACTCTCTGCTGACAATTGCCCGCTGTTTCTTGTTGCACGCTCTGCGCATATTGTCACAAAAATATAAATTATGACCATTATGTTTATTGTTTTCTCTACATATCGCAGACAATCAGACAAGCAGACAAGTAGACAAGTAGACAAGTTGTGCTGTCGCCTGGACTGTGTCGCCAGTCGACTTGTCTTTGGCAATTTTCAATTGAAATAGATTTTTTGGCTGGCAAATGCTGGCAAATTGTTGTGGCATTTCCGTTTTGGCAGCTGTCCAGGCATAATTAAAAGCGATGGCATTTCACAAAATACCATTTTCTGTATATCATCTACATATCAGCTGGTTATTAGCTTATTTTACCTGCTGTTAGTACTTACATGGTTTTAGTGGCTCATTTTGTGGCAAGTTGTTCGTTGGTTTGGCATAGCTCGCATAATTTTCCCAGCTATATTGTTGCGTGCCACGTTTGCTGTTGCCTCTTGCCTGATTAACGGTTTTTTATGGTTGCGCAAATATTTGAGCTCAGTTTTTAATAGCCTACTTCTGTGCCTAAGTTATGTGCAGAAAAGCCTAATTAGCAGCGTTTAACTAAGCCTCACAGCATTATTTGGCTTTTATTTTCTGTGCTTTGTGTGTTTGTGTATGCTTTTAATGCGACGTGATCGTGGTTATTAAAACAACAATAGCACATGGAGCACATACGGCCACATCCTGAGCGTGTTTCCACCTTTTGTATTTCGTACACTTGCAGAAAAGGACTTCTTGAAAAATCAACTACAATTGCCAAGGAATTATAACCGATTGAGGTTATATTGAATAGGACTAAGTCTCAACCTTGATGTAAGATTTACCTATCTGCATATATAAAACAGAGCAAAAGAATTTTTGTATTTAAAATAGAGGCTTATAAAACTTAAGTCCTGGATTGAAACTCACTTATTTATATTGAAATTATATTCAAATTAGAACAGAATATATTTAAGAACTTGAATCATGTTTATATTAAATAGACTGTAGAATTTATCTGAAAACTTGCGTTGTTCTAATAGCTAAATATCTAAATTTGAATAATCAAGTTCGATTTGCAGTAACTGCTTTATTATCACAACAATCGAACCAAACTTGCCCCAAAAGAGTCCTTTCGCTTTCTCGTCTCGAATTTTGTGAATGTTTATTTAATTAGAATACAATATATACTTTTTTCTTTCTCTGTAGTTGTTGGTCGACAGCAAAATGTAAATTTGAGCTGAGTACCTCGACAGGCGCCACTGGCGGCCCATTGCTTACACGTTGTCCGCGCAGCATGGTGCCTCTTTCACTAGCACTGTGCCACTCCTGGCCGCCCCGTTGTCCCACTGTCTCGCTGGTTGGTTGGCTACCCTGATTAGGCCAGGCTGCTGCGTTGGCGTTGTCCCTGCTCGGTCGTCGGAAACTAGGCAGTCGCCGCAACCCACCGCAACACACTTAACGACGTAGTTAGCGTTAGTTAACGTATGTACGTGATATCGTTAAACTCTGCAATAACGTTACCAGACCCCCACTGCATAATAAGTGTCTTATTAGTTATGCCAGAAACAGCACCAACAGCAGCAACATTACGATTCAGTTACTACTACGATTAGTTTCTGGGTGCACCTAGAGCAACTAGAGTCAAGGCATCACGTGCCTGAATCGCAGCCATGTAGAATCAGTGACAATTTCCATGTGACCAGGCCAAAATTTGAATAGAACATTTTATTTACACAACTCAATGACGTCTTGAATGATAAACGGGCAAGTGCATGACAGTGCTGACTGCCTTCAGTATATTAAATCCTCTTTTGTATTTTTTCATAAATAACTTAATATACAATAATACTAAAATAATACTCATTTCATAGCTGACAAGCTGGACAAGTAAAACAAAAACTGAAATTAGGAAAATTGATATAATAGACAGAAGGAGACTACGAATATATGTTGGGGTAGTTGGGAATAAATAACAAGGTTTCTGCCTCTGTTCCGGCAAACAAAACTATGACTAGATATATATAGCAATTATTTTGTGTCAATATAGCATTTTTCGCCATTCATTGATTGAATTGTGCCAGTTGTTGGTAGATTGTAACACTTGAGGTTATTTAACAGTGGCAATAGACGATATAGGTCTGGGCACTGCAATTAGCCGCTTATCTCAACTGTCAATTGATAAGCGTCAATGACTTTTAATTAATTCAGGGCAAATATTGTGTTACAACAATTGAAAGTTTTTAACTGCAAAACCAAGGTAAAAGTCCAAAACAAATATCAACAAGAGCTCTGAAATCTATTTGCACAGTTAAGGGGCCAAAGTGCTTGCCATAAAAAATAAAATAAAATAAAATAAAAAATAAAAAAACCACCCGAAGACGAAGATGAAATTAACGCGAGGCCAGCGAAATGAAAATTAAATTCCAAACTGCCCTTGGGCCTGGCCAACATGCTAGTGGTGTTCAGTGAGGAGTTCAGGTCCTGGTTCATGGGTCCGGAGTCCAGTCTCAGGTAATCGCAAACGTGTAGTATTTACTTTCAGCGTTGCTTGTTTATTTTTTAATTTCCTTCCAATTAAGCAACAAACAAGTCCAGAACCCTGCCCCCATCCTTGACGTTGGCAATAAAAAACGCGCAGGAATCGAGCGAAATAAAACGAAATGAAATCTATTCACAGTTACGTAAACTCAAAAGTAAACGTAATGAAAACACGTTGGCACAATTCATTTAAAATCTACAATTATATATATCAGGACCAGAACCAACCGGCACAATTTGGCATTCCAAGGCAATAAGACGAAGGACATAGGACACGGGACACAGGACCCAGGAATCAGCAAACACACAGGACACAGCTGTATGCTTTTAGGCGCATCTGCGGTTAATTTCCATGCGCACGACTTGCGGCTCAGGTTTGGAGAAGAAGTCCGATCCCTTCTCGGCCTCTGTGGGCTCATTACTTATGCGCAACTTGTACGCATAAATAAAACATGTCAAACGAGTGCCAGTCAAAGTGACTCGAGGCTGTCGACTCAGCTATTGCCATGGCTCGATACCCAGATTCCCACACAAGCCAACAGCAGCACACAATTTTTGTAGGCAACTCGCATAGCGCTTGAGGAAGAATATGGCTTGCGGGTGTGAGCCGAACAATTAGTCAAAAGTATTTCTACTGAGTAATGACCGAAAGCCCAATTCGTAGCTGGATTTGGAAAAAGCCACAATTCCATTTTCTTTAACTAGGCACGTTTAAAAGTTATCGCTGCTATTTTGGAACAATCTCATTTGTTTCTTTGCCCTTCAATAAAGTTTCAATTAAGCCGTTTGCCGTCAAATCAACACTTCATACAACAGTTTTTAAAACTATTTTCAGATTTATATATTTGGATTTATATAAATGCTACGATACACACTATTTCGTTTGTCTTGTGTCTGATTTACAATGCTTTCACATATGCTAGAATTTACTTAGTGATCGGTAAAACTATATAATTGCAAACAGCATCACAGGGGACACTTACAATTTTTAAAAGGTGAATCGAGCAAAATGTTGCCCAACTCGTCTCAACTACATCGGACACTAGATTCAACTGTGTCTTCGTCTGTGCTATTATCAAATACTATTTGCATGCCATCTGGTACATAAACTGTATCAGGGTGCGAGTCGGTCGTCCCGTCATGGAATCCCTTAGCAGATAGGGTGGCACACCGGCTTTGCCTAGCATTCCCGTGCCCCTCGTATCCAGATGCACCCAATCGGCGCAGGCCACAATAGAATGGAGCAATGCAGCCGCTAGGCAAGAGGAGGCCGGTCCTCGTCCCTTATTGCACATATCGTACGTCTTATTCGGTTCGATCAAGTCCTTAAAGTGCTTCCACAGAGGCATGCGCCACACTCGATCCCCTGTTAAAGAGCCGGCCTTTCTAAATTGTTTCCACAGATCGCTGCTGTTCGTCCACAGTCCAGTCGAGGAGGAACCCAGTCCAAACTGCACGCCCGTGTTATGTGCACCGACATCGACTAGAAGTCGTGGCTTCTGCGTTGTCTGCGCATAAATGAGCGGATCGGCCAACATTACGGTGCCTGCATTCGAGGTATCCTTGATGCACAGCGTCTTCCCGTTCAACAGGGTTATCACATCACCCGGCTTGGCTGCCATGCCCGAGGGCATATTCTCGCACAGTGGCAATAGGGCGGAGACATTAATGGGCAGCGATAGAGCAGCCGCAGCTCGAATTGCTGCCACACAACAGGCAGCACCCGTCAGTGCTCCTCGTTGCATGTGCAGGCTGTTCTTATGCTTCAAGCAGAGACCACCACTGTTGAAGGTCAGCCCATTGCCCATCAACTGTAAGGGTCGGTCGTCGGGTGAGGTGCCACGATAGCTTATCTCCAGTATGAGGGGCGGCTCACAGGAGCCCTTGGCGACCATCAGAAATGAGTTGAGTGCCTGCTCTTCGATCCAATCCATGGTGCGCACCTCGACTGTGACGCCGCAGGGACACAGAGCGTCGATCGCTGCCTGCGCGAATATCGACGGGGTCATCTGATTCGCCGGTGTGTCGGAGAGACGTCTTGCCAAGTTCTGAGACTCGGCTTTGAAGAGTCCGCGCGTCCATGCGTCGACATCCGTTGAGCCGTACAGTTCCAACTTGGGTATAGCAAGGCGGCGATGCTTTCGCTTGTTCACATTATAGCGCCACACGGCCATTGAGGCACCCTCGGCTGCCTGCTCCGGATATTCCATACTGTCCACATATACGCTTTGGACTCCCTGATATTGCAGAGCCCGGGCGCCAACAGCGGCAGCGATGCGTGCATTTTCCATGCCCACATCGAGCACCTCTTCGGCATCGTAGCCAATGCCCTCGCGACCCAAGCCGACAACGACAATTGATGCGAACTCCTTGTCCACATTACTGAACATTCGTCCCCTGCCCAGTTTGCCGTTCATACCGGTCTCCCTCACCAGTGCGCTGATCTTGCCGCCAACGCGATCATCGAGCTTTTCGCCATTTGGCGACAATTGCGGATCCTTCTCGCCCTCCTTGAGATACAGTCCAATAACAATGCCACTCGATTCGCATTTACCACGCACCTGGCAATAATGCATCCAGGGCACTGGGCACATCATGCGTTTCTTGTTGTTGTTGCGTAGAGCTGCTCCCATCATTAATCTGCCATAAGAAGACGCATAAGATCGGGCCATTGTATTTCTTTTTTTTGTTGTTGTGATTTTGACAGCACTCTAGGATAAATATAATTACGATATAAAATAATTTCACTTCAATTTACATAAAATTCGAAAAGAAAAAAACCTTCAGTTGAAAAAGTCTGTATTTAAATAAAAAAGAAATCAGTACACTACGTGAAGCTGAAATCGAGAAACTGATCTAAGTGAATTTCTCAATTTTGAAGCATTAAAACTACGCTGAAGTATAAATCTGGTGAACTTGGCTTCAAATGTGTTATCTAACAAGTTTATTAAATTTGTGGTAAGTGAACACGAAACCCTTTGTTTATTATTTATACAAAATGCAAAAACTAATGTGGGTTCGTTAAATATTTATAGAAAACAAACAATGATTTGAGGAAGAGAAAATTCTTTAACGAAGTGGTATGAAAAATATATTAACAAATATATAAATATATATATATAATATAAATGAGGCGACAACTTGACTCAAACTACATTTTTATTTCATGCCAATGATTAAATTTGCAATTATACAAATAAAGAATATGAAGTGTGTGGCTACGCAGATATAATGAAGAAGTGCTGGTGCAAAAGTGTTCAGAGTGCAAAAAAGAATAATAATAATAAAAAAATTGCAACGAAGCCGCAGACGAAACACGTAAAAGCAATAAAGCAATAAATTGCCCAATTTGAAGCACTATTGTAGCCAATAATTTGCACAGCCACTTGGTCGGTTGGTTGGTTGGTCGGTTGCCAGTGGCCAACACTTCTGCTATATATATATATATATATATATATATGTGTGTGTGCACGTGTGCGTGTGTGTGTGTGTATGTGCTTGTGCCCATATAATTTCAGCAAAAATATGCACATTTGTCAATGTCGCGTGATTGATGTGGTCGAACGCATTTCCGCCAAGCAGCCGCCGCGGTGGCAGAGTCAAATAAAAAATAAAAACAAATACACACACACACACAGGCAACAGCATGACATGCAGACACACTGGAGTGGCAAAAAATAAAACAGTGAAATAATTTTTTACAAAAATATATATATATACGCGTAAAAGAGGGGCGAGTCTGGTTGCTTGTGGGGCCCCAAAGGATGCTGGCGGCTGTGTTGGCGACATTACGCGATTTTACGCATGATTTAAAATTAATGACAGCGTCGAGAGTTGTACACACATACTGTATATAAATACATGTACACTGCACACCTTATCCACGCCCATACACACACACACAAATACACACGTAACGTGGGAGTCAGTCGCTATGCAGGATGTTTAATTTCCTAAATGCATAAATCTCACTAATACGCACAACAAAATCTAAGCGCGGCTTATGCGATTGCCGCTTTTTTCTCTCTGTGTGTGTGTGTGTATGTGAAAGGAGGGGTGGGAACAATGTAGCAACAACAACTACAACATGGGTGCGAGCCCATGACTACGAGCACAACATCCGAAAATCATAAACAAACTTCAAAGGACATTTACACAGCGGACAGTCGACAACTGCCCAACTGCCAACGAGAATGAAAAACTAACTGAGGCAAGCCGAAGTTTAAATACCCTCTGTCCCTGACTATATGAAAGACTAGTCTGATCTTGGTCCGCATATCTTGGCCAACATGTTAACTTGACCACAAATATAATAATACCCTTTGCAAGGGTATAAAAAGAAGAAAATTTGAACCAATGTTGAGCTTATTACGCACAGATACGAGGCACACGCACACACGCACTCCTTAGCAACCGCAACAATTCAGCTTCATTTGTGTTGCGGCACACACACACTCACACACACACACCTTCATTGTGTATATCCACATTCGTTACGTATACGCAATGCTGTTCGTACCTGTGCAACGATAACGGCCTCCTTGCCCACGCAATGCTTTCATTTTTATTTCCGTTTTCAGTGAACGCCGCCGCACAATGCTCACTTTAAACTTACGACGACTGTTTCAAGGTGGAGGGGGGAGTGTAGGATGAATGGTGGGGCCGAGTTGGGTTTGGTATTTTTTGGGTGGTTGTGCGGCTTGGCTCACCTTTTTGTCGTGCTGCTGCTTTGCTTGTTCGTTTGTTTGTGTTTGTTTGTTAGTCGGTTTTGTTTGCCGGTTTATGCTTTAACCTACGGAAAATTGCCAATTGTTGTTGGCATGCAAATTTATGGCTTATTTGTTTTGGCTTTTGTATTGTGGCAAATATGTATGTATGTGTCTGGAGTGTGCGTGTGTGTGTGTGTGTGTGTCTGTGTGCATGCTTAGAAGCCGCTTACTACACGTCAACCCTTTTCAGACGACTAATACGTTGAACCAGGAGCGTTTCAGCATTGAGACATTTTTGCAAGCTCTCTGAGTTTATTTAATTCAAATATTTTCACTTGATTCCACAATTATTTGACGTATAGAAATGATATGTCATTTGTAACTTCTGTTTAAAGTATCTAAGTAAGAATTTATAACCATTTAAGTACATAAAGATATATTTCTAGCACACTTTAGAAACTCAAAATTAGTAAAACTGAGAATATAGCAATTTAGAGCCCCATTTGGGAGCGCCCAAAAGGAGCCACTCCTGATTATTTTTGTAGCAAGTTTTCTACGTGTTTTGCCGCTTTTTGACCCAAATGCCGGAAGTCAGACGATGCAAGCAAAAAGCTTTGACCTATCAGTAGATTTCATTAACAGAAATTTAGATAAGCATTAGTGTTGATGCGCCATCCTAAGGCGTAGACGCCGTAGATGCGGATGTAGTTGTGAGTGTGGATGTGGATATCGAAACTGTGTGTATTTGGCGACTTTAATGTATGAGTGTATGTGTGTGTGCGTGTGTGTGTGTGTGTGGCTTAAAATTACAAAAGTACATATTTTGCTAGCAGAATCTGGAAAATGTAAATCTCTCTTGTGGCTCGTAAATTTGCTAGTTGCATAAATCACACAATTGAATTCTAATTTTCAGCTCACACATAAACATACTTGAGAGAGAAAGAGAGAGAAAGTAAGAGAGAGAGAGAGAGAGAGAGAGAGAGAAAGGCCAGACATGGAGACAGACTAATAGAGAAAAGCTTATTGTGAGACTGCCGGAGCTGAAATCAATCATGATTTTTAATGCACAAATGGGAGCAATTACAGTCAGTTGAGCAGACAAAAGAATTTACACTTGATTTATTGTTGTTTTAGCCTGCCAGCTGATTGCTGATGTTTACACACGCATCTGTGGTTGTTTGTTGGTCTAACCACACGACCTTTTGAGCATGTGCGGTCAGAATGCAGTCGAAGTCTTTTGTTCTATGCCCGAAGTTGCAACTAGCTCTTTACTTATAAATAGTTTTGCTTCTCTTTTTTTTTTGGTTTGTTTTGTTTTGTGTTCGACCACTTTCGAAAGTAAAAGCAGCAGCAGCTAATTGACTGTTTACGGTTCAATAAATCGCTTAAATGGGCACACATCATGCCAAACAATCAATTAGCACCTCCCCCCAAAAAAACGCCGGCAGACAAAGGCAAATATTGTGTGAAGATATTTGGGCTTAGCCTCAGCTTTTATAAATGTCTTGTGCATAGACTTGGCCAAAACAGACACTGTCTAATGCTCGACATGACAAATCATTCAGTACTCATTGGACTGTTGCTCTTGAGCACTCTCTGCTGCCTTGTGGCCGCTGATCTTCGCGCTGATTTGCGTGATTTTATGGCCCTAGTGCCGCGTCGCCGCATCAATCATATCGCAGCACGTTACTATATCTTCGATCCGAGATTTCGCCAGGCTGTTGACTTTGTGCGCAGCGATGATTTCGCCAAGACGTGGCAGCAAATGCGCAAAGCACCCGATTTTGCCGATCTGATTGACTATGTCACGGAATATGGATCCGGTTATGATGTGAGCAGTGTTATTGATAAGCTGCCCAATCGATTGCATGCCTATCAGTTGTCACGTGTGGTCCCAGTGGATCTGATGTTGCGCCGCGATCTGACCACATTTCTGCACGAGGCACTGCAGACGCTGCCACGCGCCCAAGTCTACAGTTTGATGGCACGCAAGGTGCGTGAGGGGCGCGACTTTGCCAAATTATACAAGGCTCTGAAAGACAAGGAGTTTAAGGAACTGGTGCATACAGCCCGAGTAAGTACAAATCTAAAGAATATAATTCTGAGACTATTGAGAAATGAGAATCGCTTTTGTTATTTGGTTTTTGTGAACTTTGTTCTGTTTGCTCTTGGCTAAGAGCATGCTGTAGATATGAGAAGTTGTGTAGGTAAATATATTAAGCAACAGTTTGCGGGCTCTGGTGAAGAGCTCTAAGTTTTGTCTCCACAAATCGAACTTTGATAAGAATTGTTTGCACATAAATTCAGCTCAATTTAGTGAATTTAAATATGTTTTCATATCAGTCAGATTTTGATAAATTATTGATATACTATACAGCCTCTCATATGCTGTTTTGACTTAAAGTAGTTCGACTTTAATTTTAAGCCTTATAATTTTTCTCTTGCAGCATTCGCAGGAAATGCAGCAGCCGCTGAGCAAGCTGAGCCAGAAGAACATCGACGTGGATGAATTCATACAAATCGTGTTTGAGTTGATAAGTTGGGGTCCGTGAGGCTAAATGAGGCTCTATAGTTGCTCCTGGCAGCAAGTTATAATTAAGTATTTATGAAATAACCCAGAGGCGCATGACTCATTAAATAACCAGGCAGAAATGGAGAACTCTCAAAAGTTAAGATGCTTACCCCAAAAAATAAATATGAAAAAATAGAGAAAAACACACAGCATGAAAAGTACAGCTTAAGTGCTTTTCAAACCGTAAATGCTGAAGTTGCGACCGTCGTCCCGGATTCAACTGCGGCACAATAATTCCAAAAAGGGTTCTTCACACTCCTTTTGCATACTTGTTTCAGCTTTAATTTCGACGTGCGATGTGCTCAAAAATGTCGAGCAGATTTTGAGTTTCTGTTGAGGCTGTTGAATCGATTTCTCACTAATTTTGCGCAGTGCATGCGTGGGAGGGGCAGGGAGGGGCTTTGCCAAAAGGGCCCAAGAGTAACAACAATGCCTCATTTGCTGGCTGCACAATATGCACTCATTAGAGCGGTTTATGCGTCACTGCCACCGGCACAGGGGATCAGAGAATGCTGCCCCTTGCCTGCTTGCCACCTGCCACCTGCCAGTTGTTGCAATTTGCAAGTAGGTAAAACCCTCGATGGTAACACATCTGTGCTATCTTTGACTAAATGAGAATTTGCAAATTCACATCTCTGATTGTATGCTAGAGCTTAGCATTGATTTTGGCCTATAACCTACCAATTAAGTTGACGGCGTGGCAACCATCGAGTTGCCACAGAATGTCAGCGAATTTGTTTTATTGCAGCATAGTGACAGTTGCCATATATGGTTTAGTTGCAAGCTGACTTGCCACAAAATGCGTATACATAATGCCGAGTAGTAGCAAGCCGTTTGCCGTTCACTTCTCAGAAGCAAATTGCTGACACTGCTGTTGCTGCTGAATGTGCAACTAAAGTTGCAACTGCAACAATAACTACACCCGCCCACAAATAAACCAGCAACGACAACCCACATCATTTTGTCGCACTTTTTTGGCTGACGCTTCTGCACAACGCATCTAATATAGTTAGGGCGTGAGGAGCACTCGCAGCTGGAGTTGAAGATGGTTCTGGTTCGGGTTCGGGTTAGAGTTAGAGTTCTAGAGCGGCAGTTGGCAGTCGGCAGCTGTAGCTGGCATTGATGGCCAAAAACTGCCTGCCTGCTGCATGCTGCCTGCTGCTGGCTGCCAGCTGCTGGCTGCTACTGTTGGCTGTTGCTGTTTCTCCATTTTGCCTGACATTAATTTTATGCTGTGCAGTATGCGTGTGTGTGTGTGATGTTGTGCACTTGTTTGTATACACTGCTAACTGGTAATCAATTGTATATTCGGTAGTATATTCTGAGAATAGATTATAATAAATAAATATCGCTTAGTGTTTAAATCGGCCTATTTTCAACTTGAGTTTCTTAGAGAAACATTGCGAAATATTCTTAGCTTTTTTTAACCTCAGAAGAGGGTAAGTTAAATGCTAAATGAATGAATTAAACACATGATTAAATGCAATTATTATTTTTAACAGAGTATTCAGCAGTCGTCAAAATACGATTGTAACGATCTTCTCTTGTGTTTTTTTTTTAGTTGGTGTTGCTCGCTGCTTTCGCTGTAACACCAACAATTTGTGCGAGTTTGTTGTGCCGTGCCAGGGAGCCAGCAATAGCTATAGCAATAACAACAGCAACAGGGACATGGCTAAAGTCAGCTCTAGAGGCAGTGGCAGTGGCAGTGACGGAAGCAGCGGCAGCATCGCCAACAGGCCAAAACGCGCTTAAATTGTCGCATTTGTCTTGTCGTTTTAAGTTGCCGCCACGCTCGCTGACTGCTGCATTGCATAAACTTTGTGTAATCCTTTCAATTTGTTGCATACTTTTAGGCGGAAATTAAAATAACAAGCGCGGCGCACAAGCAGGCGCCTACTTTTGGTGGGTGGCATGCGATGCGAGTATACGGATAGGATAGGTAGACAAGGAGGCAGCCTCAGCCAAGAGTCATTCGATTTGTTAGAAACTTGCTCTACATGTGTTCTAAAGCCAACTCACACACACACACAAACACACACAGACAGGTACTTCAATTAGTGTGTTACACAATGTTGCCTATGATCTAACCTTGAGTTGTTGCCGTGTTTTGTGTACTCGTAGCAACTACTTTGCTACGCTCTGGATGGAGCCACGTTGCGAGCTCCTACTGTGAATTAATTAAGCCAAAGTGCGGCCTTCATTTGCCTTCAATGTGGCAGCTCTCCTTTGGCCTTTTTGTAAAATAATCAAATTGAATCTGTTTCGTTCCCAGCATTTCCACAAGCTCATCCTCTGTTATGCAGCTGGTATGAGCTGGTTTTCGTCAGTTTTGTTCGTCTAACTCATGCGTCAGCTGCTTCTGCTCCTGTTGTTGCTGTTGTTGTCATTTGGCATCAAGTAAATAATTGCTGCTTTAAATGCTTGTCAGGAATTGGCAATACTGTTGCTCATCATCTGGCCAAGAGTACATTCGACTTGTGTTGGACTTTGTAACTATAATTAGTTGATACATAAGAATAAGAAGAAGATTGTAAGAGAAAGAAGTAGAAAGACTTTAAAGCAAAAGTGATTTAAGTCGATAAAATCTGCTTTTGCAATGCTTTTTTTCTTAGTAAAAATTCACATATACCATTTATTTATGTTTTTGTTAGTATTTTCTTAAATATTTATTAAATTATATTCTTCAAAATTGTTCTCCGGATTTTGGTTTTTTTTTAAATATTTTTTGACCACGTGTAGGGCAAACAGGATTCGTTATACTGTATCGTATTTGGTCCTGACTTTGGCCAAAACTCAGTTCAGCTGTTGGCCTTTTTTGGCTTTTGTTTTCAACATTTTTGAGTGGTCGCGGGGCATGATGCGTCGTTTTTCTGGGTGGTGTAAACTTGTTACCGCTTTAACTGTAATATCAGTTACACAGCCAGCAGCATCCACTTCATATTCTATTTGAGGCACACACCACACACAGTTTGACTGAGCTAACCCGCTCACTGGTTTTAATGGATAAGCGTTGAGTGTTTGGTTTTGTTTTTGGTCTCATAGCCTTTGGCTTTGGCTTTGGCATTGGCTTGTTTGCTCCGCAGCAAACTTCTTTTGCCTGTTGGGTTATACTTTACTTTATTTTGCCCAGATTGTCTGCATTTGCGGTGGTGCGTTTGTTGTTGATGCGTACGTGATCTGGGTTCTGTTGTGGCTCGCATTGCCCTTTGCTTAGCAATTAGTTTTAAAATGGCTGCCTTGTTCGCTGTCCATTTTGATGTGCCTGGACTTCAGTTCCATATCCATCTCTATGGTATATATATATACGGAGAGATATCTTCTATCTTCTGTTCGTACTCGTACGCTCATTAGAGCTGGCCACCAAGCATTGTAAAAACAGAAATGGATTTTTATACTCGGTCGTCGCCGATGCTTGTCGCATCCATAAAAGGATGCCCCGGGCGCTGGCTGCTGGCTGTTGGTTGTGTGTAATCCAGTCAAACAATGCGGGGTCAGAGCAAACAAAAAAATCAACAACAACATTCAATGTTGGCTGTAATCAATTAACGATTTAACGTTCGTTCGGAACTGGTCAACGAGTCGTCGCGACCCGTCAACATTTGGCGCCACCACCATTTCCCCTATCCCCTATCCCCACCCCCATCCCCATCATCTGCAGCTCTACCTTCGACTCCTTCTGGTGTGGGTCATGTGGCTGCAAAATTGAAACGCGCCACGTTGACAGTGGCTGCATGAACACGTCATCCAAGTACATACGGGGGCGGGAACTAACTCCAGGGGTAGAGGTGGAAGGTTGCTAGTTGAAAGTGCATTCCGCCTGCTGTCAGAGTCCAAATCATTTACAGGGTTGTCGTTTGCTATATATAATATATATACATACATACATGTATACATATTTAACCTATTTATGCATTTAATCAATCAAATTGAATAAGCAAATATAATTTTAAAAACAACCATAACATAAATTAAATATTATTTTAAATGTGGCTTAAAATAAATAGATTTCGATAAGTGCATAATCGGACAAAATTCAATTGTTATTGATCTGTGAATTTCAAGAACTTTTTTAATTGGATTACTATGAATGCATCAAGCTTAAGTTGATCATCGATTAGCAGCATTTGACCAAGCAAAGACACACAAACTGAACTATTTACTTATTTAAAAGTTGTGGAAAATTGCTGATTGAATTTTGATTACTTATGCTGTAGAGGATTAAAACTAGAGTTAATTCGTAGGCTTATTTTATGGACTTGTATGAAAGTTTCTGGCAAGTTCTTTTTATTGAATTTCATTCAATTAAGACCACTTGACAACCCTTAGATCAGAGCATGCAACGCTAAAGTTTATGTGGGGCTAATGTGATTACTCCTGTCATTATTCCCATTGCTTTCACAGCTATCTCTGTCTCTGTCCTTGCCTCTGTCCTTCTCGCTCTGCTATTAAATTGACCGCTAGCTGACTCTGCCAATGCGCGTAAGTGTGTGTATCAGTGTGTGCGTGTCTGTGTGCATTTAACTGCACGTTTGGAAATACCGAACGGCTTTGCGTCTGGCGCGTTGTATATATATAAATGTGTGTGTGTGTGTGTTTGATTGGTTATTGACTTTTAACAGAAAAATTGATGTAATGCAATTAGTTTTGCAGCTAAACCGTTTGATGATTGCACAACAACAACGAGAACAACAAGAAAGTTGCGATAAGCGAGTCCTTTAGCCCGAATCAGTCCTTTCGTATAATACATGAGGGGCAATAGCTATTGCATGCTGACAATGGGGCGCTTTTAAAAGGGGGAGGGTTGGTGTTGGCGAATGGGTTGCCAGTCGAACTTTGAAGCTGAGCAGTGGAATTAATTTTCTTTAGTATGCGATGACGCAAGCATTCGCCAATTGTTAAATGTTGAGCACATAAAATATTCATTTGATTTCTTTGGCTTACCGAGCGTATGATTAATAGAAGGCAACACATAATTAGAAA